ACAAAAACCAAAAGGCTTCCTCAATACAAGTGAGATATTTTGAAAAACCTGCTCACTCGAAAGGAGGGGAGTCTCCCTAAAAAGAAGTGAGACGTGGCAGGCCTGCCACCACCACTGTCATGCAGTCAAGCATTGTGTAAAGGATCTTGTGCTTGAGCCAGGCAGCAGCAGCTGCAGCGGCAGTCTGGTGAAGTAAAGGGGAGAGGAATAATACAGCAGGCATGTAATCTCTGCCAAACAGGATTTCCAAATGCTTCAGAGACCTGCTCTCCAGCCCAGCACATTATGGCCTAATTCATAGTTGCACTGCACACCCTAGAGAATACCCCTGTCACAGAAGCCCTACCCTTCCATCTGGCTCTGGGAGCAGGGGGCATTCTAGGATGTCAGGAGGGGCCAGAGGGCATTCTGGGCATAAGAGGGAGTGTGGCCAGGTCTGAGTTCCTTCAAGGTCCACAGAGGCCATAGATTAACAGTACAAGTTAGGGCAGCTCTCAGGGCTGCCTTAATTTTCGCTTGGGGCCCGACTGGCTCCTAATTACCCCAGGATGCACCTTTATTTTTTCATCAGCCCCTGTGCTGGGCTCCTCACTGCCACAAGTATAGGGTGACCAGATGTCCCGATTTTATAGGGACAGTCCCAATTTTGGGGTCTTTTTCTTATATAGGCACCTATTACCCTTCATCCTGTGTCCTGATTTTTTACATTTGCTATCTGGTCACCCTGCACAAGTATGAATTGGGGCCTATGTGTATAAGGTCCTGGTTCAGTGGATATCACCCTGGGGAGACGTTAAATCTACGTCCATTTCTTGATAGGCAGCAGGAGTTTCTAACATCACAGCAAAGCTCTTTCCCCATCATGCACATGTATATGTAGATGGTAATAGATGACAGAGGCAGACACATCTCTCTTTCTCTTATCTGTTGAATTTCTAATGGGCCCATCACCCTATTATCAGTGATGATTAGTGTACTGGTTCTTTAAAACTGTGGTAGGAAGCAAGGTAGAAGGGTTCGGGGCTGATTCTAGGTAGAAGCTCTAAAATGAAGCAGAGAGATACACAGGAGAGTCTGAGGAAATATATTGTTTCCTTAGTCTAATGAAGTTCCTTGTTCAGTATTAGAAGGAAACAACTATGTGAGCATGTACCATTGTCACATGCCAATAGCCAGGCAATTTTCACTTGCAATGTGTAATTTACACTGAACTCACTCTGGGAAGAAGGTGTACAATCTAGCCTACCCAATAATTTGCTTTTCTCCCTAGCAGCAAGTGCTCTCAAAATGCAGTGGTTCTCAACCTATTTACCATTGTTGGCCACATACTCAGCTCTCTATGTGTTATGTGGACTGCACCCACACAATATATATACTACCTGTATGGCCCTGAGGATGTCACATGGGCTGCAGCTATGTGCTGATTGGACTGCAAGTGGCCCACGAGCCACGGGTTGAGAACCACGGCATTAGAGCTTCATAACTCCTTTTGCTACACCCAAGCACCGTTGAATGTATACACCCTGGTTAGGGTCCTTCCAAATTCACCGTCCATTTTGGTCAATTTCACGGTCATAGGATTTTTAAAATAGTAAATTTCATGGTTTCAGCTATTTAAATCTGAAATTTCACAGTGTTGTAATTGTAGGGGTCCTGACCCAAAAAGGAGTTGTGAGGGGGGAGGGTTGCAAGGTTATGGGGGGGGGTTGCGGTACTGATACCCTTACTTCTGCGTTGCTGCTGGTGGTGGCTCTGCCTTCAGCGCTGGGCAGCTGGAGAGCGGTGGCTGCTGGCCAGGAGCCCAGTTCTGAAGGCAGAGTCATCGCCAGCGGCAGCACAGAAGTAAGGATGTCATGGTATGGTATTGCCATCCTTACTTCTGCGCTGCTGCCTGCAGAGCTGGGCCTTCAGTCAGTAGCTGCCACTCTCCAGCCACCCAGCTCTGAAGGCAGCAGCGCAGAAGTAAGGGTGCGATGGTATAGTATTGCCACCCTTACTTCTGTGCTGCTGCTGGCGCGGTGCTGCCTTCAGAGCTGGGTGCCTGGCCAACAGCCACCACTCTCCAGCCGCCCAGCTCTGAAGGCAGCACAGAAGTAAGGGTGTCAATACCCCGACTCACCCCCGGACCTCTAAAATAACCTTCTGACCCCTTGCAACTCCCTTTTGGGTCAGGACCTCCCTTGTGAAATCTGTATAGTATGGTAAAAGCACACAAAAGACCAGATTTCACGGGGGGGACACCAGATTTCACAATGCATTTTTCATGGCCGTGTATTTGGTAGGGCCCTACGCATGGTGTATCTCCTGATTGACTTTCACTGACGATGCATAATTTCCATCAGGATCACTGGGAAGAAATGAAACAATCCTGCCCCTGCAGCAGCGTTTCCTTTTCTCACTAGTAGCAGGAGCTCCCAGAGCCGGTGCTAGGCATAAGTAGACTAAGCAATTGCTTAGGGCCCTGATCATACCAATAATGGGTCATTGTGTGTTGTGTGTGGGGGAGGTCCACCAAAATATTCCTGCTTAGGGCCCCCAATGGGCTAGCACCACCTCTGGGAGCTCCTAACACCCCACTACAGCCCTTTCCACTCCTAAATCCTCATTCACACTTCATGTACCCTATATGTAACAGTGCCAAGCAAACCAAAATCATGAATCAGTTTCCCAAAATCATAAGAATGGCTTTAAAAATCATGAGATTTTTAAAAATATAATAAATATGGAGATTTTTAATTTGCTGTCTTGTTCTTGAGCTGTTAGAAGTTTAGTCATTTTTAAAAGAAAGGTGAGATTCTCATGTAATCACATGCCTACAGGACCTGGGGCTTTAAAAAAAACACCCAAATATCCAGAGACTCCCCAGAAAATTGTGAGGGCTGGCAACACTGACATCCATATGTAGATCTCCTCATTTACTGCCATTTACAGTGTGTGGTTTCCATTGAGCTCCATTGGGAGAAAATAAACCTGCCCCTGCGTTTGCTAACTTCCAGCAGGAGCTCTTAACACCCCACCAGAGCCCAGGTCTCTCCATCCCCATGTATGTATATTTAATACGACCCCTGCTTTACGGTCATTTTCATTTGCAATCTAATTTCCGCAGGGAATCAGCACTGGGGAGACAGTATATAATGCTGGTGGCTGATTTAGCAACCGTGGCTGGTTGCGGTTCCCACAAGCAGCAGGAGTCCCTAGCATCGCAGATTCCTCCCACCTATACTTTGACTTGCACTGAGTCATTTCCATTGGGCTCGCTCTGGGGAGCAGGTAAATACTCCTGCTTCTGCAGCTGCGTTTGCATTTCTCCCTAGGCAGCGGATGCAGCAGCAGCTCCAGAGCAAGGGCTCTCACCGCTGTGATGTGGCAGCGGCAGGTCGGATCACGTTGCTAGCCCTGTGCGTGTACCCGTTTGAGACAGGATTAAGGAGGAGGGTTTTTAGGTGCCAGTGGTAGTAAACGTGGGCTATGCGCACACAGCCAGGGTTCATTATCAGACTAAGAGAAAGTGTGTGTGTGTTGGGAGAAGGGAGGGGAGGAGGCCAGGAGGGGCACGTACCACCAGACACACAGAGCAATGGACGTTCACAGGGGAGTGATTAATATTACATTTCACTTCAGTGTAAGTCCTCTCCCAATGTCACCCTCTCTCTCTCTCTGCCTCTCCTGACAACTCCTTTGCAACAGCGATGCAGTCTGTGACAGTCATAAACCCACTAGAGCACGCTCCTGATTTGCACCTATAGACATCAACTCGCTGTAATCGGTAGCCTCAACTAGGGCGCTCCCGGTTCTTTCTAAAGGGCAATATTAAGAGTTACAGGCCGTTTATGATCACCTGCACGAGACAGATTAAACAAAAACTCACGAGATTATAAATGGCTCATTGAAATAAACAGGCAAAATAATCTCTCGTCACCAAACGGACAAACTTTAAACTCCCTAAATGGGACTTGGCAGATCTCAGTGTAGCGCAGGAATAAAAGGACATTTTTGAATGCACCATTTTAATCACTTCCCAGACATCTTGGCAAACTAAGGTCTCCCCCACTACGGATTTTTCCTCCCAACGTGTTTTGCTTTTTGCACAGGACCACCACGTTGTGCCTCCGCTTTTAAATCCAGCATCCTTTATGCTATATGTGAAATCTCGATCCCCCCCAGTCCATAAACTGACTAGACTAAAGAGCAACCAACCCCCAGACAGTATGGTAAAAGCACACAAAAGACCAGATTTCACGGGGGGGACACCAGATTTCACAATGCATTTTTCATGGCCGTGTATTTGGTAGGGCCCTACGCATGGTGTATCTCCTGATTGACTTTCACTGACGATGCATAATTTCCATCAGGATCACTGGGAAGAAATGAAACAAT